ATATTGATTTTCTGACATCTTGTTTTCTGTAAAGATTTTATTGGTAGGTTTGCAAATGTGTATCAGACTGTGCAATCTCTCCATGAGTTGGTTTTGAAACCCAGTATGGGATTCTGAGATACATTACCAAGGATATTATTACAAGATAAATCATTTGCTTCATTGAACACATACAACAATGCATATTTCCACTGAGATCAGTGACCTTTGATGTGTATCACCAGTGATCAGTCAAGTTGAAACAGTCAAAATATTTTATCATATTTTCTCAATTTTTGCATGATATTTTTTCATACAGGACATCTATTGTTCAAACTCAGGGAAGACTTTATACTGATGAATAAGGTGACCAAGTTTGATAAAGTTTGGAATAGAATTAGTAAAGTTATTATGCACACAATAACAATTATTAACGACAACGACGACGACAACGCCGGACAAAATTTTTCCCTTAATATACCTTTCCCTTCCATCTTTGATGGTACGGGCAAGGTAAAAAGGTTGCCACACTCTCTTAACAGTGGGATCCCCAATACAGAATAGGTTGTCACAACCACTAGACAGTGGTATCATCCAATTCCTGCTAAAAGTGGGTTAGATGTGTCCATCCGCGACATACACAGTATACAAGTACACATTTATCTATGGATAAGATCATTTATTCAAATTCATAACTGAAATAACTACTAATTTGACCAGCAAATCTAGACAAAGTACAACAACCATAAACAAAATTATACCAAACCTGATTGATATATTATTATTATACATATATTATACAATCAATGTATTTCTATAGATTAAATATAATATTAGTAAATACAGTAGAATACTTAGGCCAGCAGATAAGTAATAATACAGAGTTGCTATCATATTTTTCATAGATAGATACCTTATTATATATTTTTCCATAATTTTTATTTTGAACAACTTTCATGAAGTAAATACTTAATTCCATCAAGTCCCTGCTAAGGCAGTTTTTAAAAATTATTATTGCACATCATACAGGAAACTATAGCTGTATTGCTTTGATCTGCAATAAATTTGATAATACTGTTCTCGTATCTCTAGTTGCCCTAACAATACCAACTTGAAAAGGGGAGGGAAGCTATTTACTGCATGACTGCATGGGGGAGGGATTGAATCTGACTTTAAAAGTCTTCCACGATTAATCTATTAAGCATATACTTGTATAGCAAACTGAAATACAATGTACATAAATAGGGGGCACAGAGACATAATGCTTGTGAATACTGTCCAACATAGCTACACCCCACCCTCTGGTTACAACCCTAGCCCCCACATCAAAGTGAAATAATCCCACAAAATAAGTTAAACAATTATAAAACAGAATGTAATCAAAACGTTCGAGTACTGTTCTATAAAGAATGGTGAGAAACAAACAATAAAGTAAAAATGAATTTTACTCCTACATATATCTTATGGTGTACAATGAAGATATCGAAGATAGTGTACTGCATATTACTGTAAAATCTGTATTAGAAACCGTGGCTTCTATTAAAATGGTACAATGCAACAGAGGGGATGCGGCTTCTATTTGAGCACCTACACATATGAGAAATGATTTTTTGGTTCTCAATTATTCAAAAAGAATGCGTGCAACTTCTATTCAGGATGCGGCTTCTAATACAGATTTTACGGTATTATACATCTGGCACTGAAAACAATGGAAGTTGCAATTCTGTAAAAAGCCGAAGCAGCACTCATTTTGGAAACTACGTCACCAGCATTGTTGTATTTTGTCAAGGTTACATTGTATTGGCGTCACACTTTCCTTTGTTTACTTTAGATGCATAAGTGCTGCAGCAAGCGATGAAAACAGAATACGACACAGACGTATGCACAGTACCACAATGTACGATATGTACAATTAAGGTACACAGTTTCGTCAATTTATTTTGCTGTGCTGTTTAGTTGCAGTATAATAACATCATATTATCATTCTTCATTACACCACAATATATCATGGAAATAAATTACACACCGCAAGCCACAAAAATAGAAAATAGCTTGCACTGGCTTCTCTGCTTTAGCACACTACAGAAAAAAAAAAATATTAAAAAAAATGTATACTCCGATTGCACCAATAAATATAACTTATATGACATTTTAATTTACTTAAAATTCACTTAAATCTTATTTATTAATTTATTTATAATAAAAATGCTGAACCTAGCCCTGCAGTTTCAGATATATTAATTACATTTCACATTCAAGAATTTAAAAACTTATAACAAAATGCTGTAAAATTCCATGATTTTAACCACAGAAAAAATGCACATGCTTTTTCTTATTTTTGTACTTATAAATTATTTCATATATATTTTATAATTAGAAAGTGTGATTTTCAAAAACGAATTTAAAAAATTAACTTACGTATTATATATTGTGAAGAATAACAGTTCAAGAAACCTAATTATTAATTTTAACTACACCATAGTAAAATATTAAAATTATCAAGTTGTTTACTCAACCACAGACTCTTTAATATAGAGAGAGTTACAATGAAAATATCTGAAGAATCTATAAGCTATAAGAACGAATTCTTGTTTGAATGGGATATAAAGTTATGCAAGTACTCAGAGAACATCTAGAATTAATTATGTGCATATTTAATTAGACTATCGTCATAACTATGTGTGTGCATATTCTTTCATTATATTCCTGTTTTACCTACAGCGTGTATTATGTAGCTTACTGTAGAATACTTTATTTTCGCTTGGAATTTATTTTCGCTATTTTCGCTGAAGGGATGATTCCGTGAAAATAAAATCCAGCAAATATACTTTTTTTCCTATATTTCACATTAAACTCATCAAAAATCAGTGAAAATAAATTCCATACAAAACGCCCAAAAAGCCTTTTCAGTGAAAATTAATTCCAGCGAAAATAAAGTATTCCACAGTATTTGAAGGTAATTTGGCATTAAGTTACAATAGCTTGTCTGTGAATATGCACTAGGTTTTCTTTAAAAGCTGGTTGCTATGCAACATTTGCATTTTGATAAGCATCAGTAGATACATAGCACAGCGATGACAACAGCATTGCTTTATGTACAGTAAATGTTTGTGCAAACAGAGGGTTCCTGAGCTTTGTTAAAGGTCTGTGCAATATCATATTTCCCACCGATTTTTTCATTACCATTTTCACCAACAGACTTTCCCACCCAATCATTTTTCTTATATTCTTTAATATTTCTGAAAATGAACTCTAAATTTGGAGTCAACAGACAAAATTCCAGTAAATTTTCAGTTTTTAATCAAAACAATTTGAATATTATTGTCACAATCTACTGAAGGAAAGTGCTACAAATGGGACTACTGTGAAATACTTTATTTTCGCTTGGAATTCATTTTGGCTATTTTTGCTGAAGAAATGATTCAGTAAAAATAAAATCCAGCAAATACACTTTTTTCCCTATATTTTACAGAAATCAGTGAAAATAAATTCCAGCTAAAATAAAGTATTTTAAAGTATTTTGTGAATATGTGATGAAAAGAGGGAATTGGTGGTGAAAAAGTAAATTTTGGCCCATAATTTCTCATTGAGAACTTGATCAACTTAAAAAAAAAAAAAAAAAAAATAACGAAAAGAAATAAATGTTAATTTTGGGAAAGGTGGCAAAAGTTGCACTCAAAGAGTCATTGGTAAGTTTATCACTTACCATATTTATTTGAAGAACTTTATAATGCCCTGAGGAAAAACATTCTGAAACTATGAAAACTAAATATATTAACAATTTGTAGCTTTCCCAGCAACAGTTTTAAAACTAATATATGGCACACCAACTAACTCCCATGTGTCATCGGGCCAGTATTTCAACATCGGTCCTTGTTCGGGCACTTCAACTACCGCATCAAAATATGCAAATAGCACACATCCTAAGTAAGCCCCTTCAAATATCATAATGTGCCAGATACTATGAAGATAGGGAAACTTCAATGCACTCCAGAAATTACAGTTTACTTGGTCACTCATCCAGACTGTCACAGCTATTGTGGTGTATATGCCGCACAGTCTTCCAAGACGATAGACTCGGTCACAGTCGCATCTGAAACAAAAACATATATAGATAAACTATTTTATAAATCCTGTTTCTCACTCCTGCCAACCAGTCTAAACTGTGTTCACCTCACCATGGGTATCTACCCTTGCTGTATACCTGAAGATAATGAACTGACCAAATTATGACAGTCTGGCATCTATCACAGTTTCTTGTTTATTTGATGTCAAATCAATTACTTATCCAGTATACAGTGCTCTTGACCTCCATATAAAGACCACCTGCCTTTAATGACCACTTTTAGGCAGTCTCAAGGTATAACATATGAGCAACCTGTGTATAAAGACAATCTCTCCATAGTGACCACTTTTAGGCAGTCCCAATGCATAACGTATGAGAAACCTTTGTATAAAGACCATCTGCCTATAATGACCACTTTCACACAGTCCCAAAGCATAACATATGAGCCACCTGTGTATAAAGGCAACCTGTCCATAGTGAACACTTTTAGGCAGTCCCAATGCATAATGTGTGAGAAACCTTTGTATAAAGACCACCTGCCTATAGTGACCACTTTTAGGCAGTCCCAATGCATAACGTGTGAGAAACCTTTGTATAAAGACCACCTGCCTATAGTGACCACTTTTAGGCAGTCCCAATGCATAACGTATGAGAAACCTTTGTATAAAGACCACCTGCCTATAGTGACCACTTTTAGGCAGTCCCAATGCATATAACGTACAAGAAACCTTTGTATAAAGACCACCTGCCTATAGTGACCACTTTTAGGCAGTCCCAATGCATATAACGTACAAGAAACCTTTGTATAAAGTATATAGTAGATAATATTTGGTAATCGTAGTAAGTAACTATTTAAAATAGCCACTTAGGACTACGATTTCCAAATATTATCTACTGTATATCATATTTATCAGTCCGAGCAGCGTTTATTTATTACCTGCCTATAGTGGCAGTATAAATGCATGACGTATGAGAAACCTTTGACCAACTTCCTTATGTGACCACTTTTTCAGCAATATATTTTCACATTTGTCTTTGATATATTAATAAACAGCAGTCATTTAGAAAATAATTTTCCTTAACTTATTATGTTTTTTTTTTTGTTGCAAAAGTATCATCTCATTATATTCTGGACAAATATTATGTCAAATGTATGAGTTGGCGATCCATGACAAAACACATCCACCCTCAATATAAAGACCCACTGTCTATAAAGTGGAGTGGACAAACCTCAGTTTGCAGGATGCATGTCACAGAACACATGAAAACAAGACTTAGCACAAGGATGTTAAGTCATGGGTGCACCAACGGCCTAACCGACTAAGGTCCCGATGATGATGATGTCTATAAAGATCATTTCAACAAAGTTCTTTGTGTGGTCAACTGAGGTACAACAGTTGGTTAGAGTTGACACATTTCTCCAAAAGCATTCAAGTACAGTACTAGAAAAGCATATGCTTGTATATTTAAAATGCAATGTTGAAAAACACTTCAAATTTTACTAAAAAACAATTTTTAGGCACATAATAGTTTTATTTATATTTTTAACGCAGATAATCTAGCAAGTATGGTATGGTATGAGTATCAGCACTACTGGTATATAATCTCTTTTAACTAAAGGCAAACAAACTAAATATTTCCTTAAAGCTTATACTGTATATTGTAATTTAAACATACCTCCTCATTTCCGTGACCAATAGAAATGCTGATGGTAAAACAAAACATATCATAACAAGATGATTTACAGCTGGGTGCAGGAATGCAAGAACAGTACTGAAGATGCTCAACGTAACTACGGCAACCTTGAAGATAGTTCTGAAAATAAGCAAAGAAAAAATGTTTGCACTGTAGCATCCTCTAGAGATAATACATAAGATTTACTTTGTTTTTAACTGCTAAATTAGTAGATTAAATTTCCATAGCAACAGAGAATATTTTGGCATTTAACTTTAATTATAACACTAATTCATTTGTTAGTTTCACAACACATACAGTATATTTTTCGTCATTGCAAGACGACCAATCATTTGGTAACAGAATGGCGCCATTCGTGGTGTGCACGCTATACATTGTCTGTGTCGTAGTTAATAAAATAATGTATGTGCGACATCACAATACAACAATATATCTAATGGACACAACATCTTTGAATACCACTAGAGTCAACCATTCAGTCAGCTAATAGTTTTGTAAGTTTGCAACATTGCCGGACGCTTCTCTGAATGGTTACATGTGATTGCAAAATACTTTTATAACACATATGTAGATAACACAGCTGGTGGTTTGTTGTATTATTTTCTCACACTCACTGTGGGAAATACTCCATTTTTGTGGCAAAATGTGCAAACCTTGAAAGATATATATAATATATCTATTAATATATATATTATATATGTATTCATATTAATCTTTCTATTTTTTGAGGTGTCATATGCCTATAGGCCTGTTATTTTAGAAACACTAAATAAAATAAAATAAATAAAATAAAATAAAATAAAATAACCAACGCTAGCATTCAAACAATTGCATGCCATTTTCTTTCAGCTGGTTTGATGTACAGTAATTAGTTATGCTAATATCAAACCTGACAATAATTGCCAAAAAAGTAAGTGACAAACTCTTGGTGGAGAATATTTGTGAGGTGAGATGTCCAACCAATTTTACTTCTCAATGTTGGATTGATGAATCTACATGTCTAAATTTCTGGGAAATTTCATCAGTATTGACCCAGTGTATTGATTGATTAAGGACAGACCAGTTGTCATTTTATTTTCTCCAAAAAGGGCATAATATTTCCACAAGCCCAGCATAGCTAAAATTTGGCTAATTTTCGGAATGTGATAACATGGTTACAATGTTAGGCCTTTTTTGATGTTGTCATCAGGTCATACACCCACCCCTTATTTTCCATGATTGTACATGTTGAGGGCCCTGGGCTTATGACCAGAGAAATATGGTAGCTGACTGAATGAGTAACTAAGGGTTAAAATTCAGAGATTTTGCGTTTGCAGTGAAAATAGACGTCAGAAAAATTTGTCAGCTCACAACGGAAAGAACATTAACTTTAATCTTCTCACCACCATACTTTCTCACAAAATTTGTCTGCACTTTTATATTCTTCAATATTTCTGGAAATGAACCCTGAATTTGGAGCCAAAAGAAAAAATTTGAGTCAATTTTCAGTTTTCGCTCAAAAGATTTGGCTATTTTTGTCCCAAACTTCTGAAGGAAAGTGCAGACTATAAACAGGACTATTTTGTGAATGTGAATGCAAAAATATTTCAGTTTACAGAAGTGTTCTGGTTTTTTCAAGCACAAAAAATGTAGTCATATAGTGTTCAGTTAGAGCCAAACATTTCTGATTCACATGTTTCCAAGGCATAACATATGAGCAACCTGTGTAAAAGGACCACCTGTCTATAGTGACCACTTTTAAGCACTTCCAAGGCATAACATAGGAGCAACCTGTGTATAAGGACCACCTGTCTATAGTGACCACTTTTAAGCACTTCCAAGGCATAACATAGGAGCAACCTGTGTATAAGGACCACCTGTCTATAGTGACCACTTTTAAGCACTTCCAAGGCATAACATAGGAGCAACCTGTGTATAAGGACCACCTGTCTATAGTGACCACTTTTAAGCACTTCCAAGGCATAACATAGGAGCAACCTGTGTATAATGACCACCTGTCTATAGTGACCACTTTTAAGCACTTCCAAGGCATAACATAGGAGCAACCTGTGTATAAGGACCACCTGTCTATAGTGACCACTTTTAAGCACTTCCAAGGCATAACATAGGAGCAACCTGTGTATAAGGACCACCTGTCTATAGTGACCACTTTTAAGCACTTCCAAGGCATAACATAGGAGCAACCTGTGTATAAGGACCACCTGTCCTATGTGACCACTTTTAAGTTTTAATTTCTTTAAGTCAAACTTGATTTTGGTCAACTCAAATAAGTGTTTTTTAGCAATAGTTGCGTTCACGCACAGCTCCTTAGCACGGGCTAAGAGGTCAAATTCCTTAGCACGGACTAAGAGGTCAAATTCCTTAGCACGGGCTAAGAGGTCAAATTCCTTAGCCCGTGCT